GGCCAAGGCTGTGCCGAATAGAGCACTAAAGTGCCTGTGGAAATCCTTGACTTAAGCTGGTCGAATCAGGGATGGGCGCATTAAGCGGTTCTGAAGCTGGGAAACTAGGTTTTTACTTTTACTTTTACTTTTGCTTTTACTTTACTTTTTTGTTAGTTATTTCCTTTGCAGACCACTTTTGGGTTAGAGCGCTTTTCGTAATGGGCGTTGTTTCGTTTCTTTTCACCCAGTTACAGTATACGGGAAGAACGAGCGTTTTGGGTGCCTAGGTCAGGCCCTGTTGGGGGGGCCGACTTCTGTCTGACTGGTAAGCAACGTGGCAAGAACTACTTAGGAGTCTAGACCAGTTCAGGGTTGGTACTTTGCTCGTTTTAGAACTATGAATGGCGGATCCCACGGCTGGGTTTTCTCTAGGATTTTGATAGGTTTCATCATTATCTTTCGACTTTCTGTTCCGACGGTCTTAGGGTCTCGTTAGACACTCCTAAAAGTGCCTATTTTTAGGATTGCGTCTTGGTTGCACGCAATCCTAAATCCAATTTCTAGATCGAAAATGTGAAAACAGCGTTAGGACGAGTCCTAAAGGATTTAGGATTCCGCAGGCAAAATCGTCCTAAATTTTCCAGTAGCCCCCGACCTACTGAAAAATTTAGGATTCCCGTGTTTCACGAACTCGTTGCGTCGCACTCATGGCACCGTAGACACGGAGTTGCTGGTGCAGAAGCAGTCTGTCGGGTCAGTGGTTGGAAATCGCCCACGAACGGTAGCCGTTGGCGGGGATTGGACGGACGTTGGCAGGAATGGATGGACATTGGGGATGCGGCTGCGTATACGCATATGAAAACGAGCCGCGGGAGACCTTTCAGGACGAACCCTAAAATATGATTTTTAGGATTGCGTGTAACGACGCCGCACGAAATCCTAAAAATCCTTTAGGACTCGTCCTAAAAATTTTAGGATTCTTTTAGGAGTGTCTAACGAGACCCTTATTTCGGACTTGGGCAAGGCTGTTCGTTTTGACTATCTGTAGGGACTTGCGGCCTAACGGTTCAGAGATGCATATTATAACCTGACTGGGGGATAACCTGCGCCTTGGCAGGGATAGGCCAACACGTGGGGTATCAGTGAGCTGTTCGGATGTTGATATTTGTGGGACCGGCTCATGCCAGACGGGTGACAACAGGACAGACATGGCTCGGGAGCTAGACTGGCTCGTTAGATGATATGTGCCCTTGGGTCAGAGCGGGACGTGCGGATCCCGAGGCTTGGTTTCGCAGGATTCAGACAGGGGTTCTTTAGGATTTTGCTGCAAAACTTCTCGGAGATACAAATGTACTTTAATCATAACCTGACAGGGAATAGGTGGTGGCCAGACTACTGAGATGCTATTTTCTATCTTTGAATCTTGTTTTGTGGAGGATCCCGTAGGAGACTGGGTGGGATGAGGGACATAGACGATGGACACTAGCTATATAAATCGGGGATCAAGGCTAGAGCTTCCCTTTCTCGAGCACGAAGGCTTTGTAGAGTCACCCTCCTGACGATGCCCGGTGGACGGGCGAAACCAATCGAGCGACCCTCATGTTGCTCTCTTCTGTGTTTCTCACGAAACTTTGCATTTGTCTTGAACTATCGCCGTGAGTGTGTCTTATGCTATGCTTGGTTTCGTGGATCACACGACCTGTTTGGCCGCAATTCGCCACTCGTAGGCTCGTAGTGACCGCTAGTTGTCACGCGCTAGGCAGTGGCTGCGTCAACATTCTCGGATCTCTGCTCTTGGAGATCTCGGATCTTGGATCTCTAGTCTTGGACTTTGGTTGTAGGCCTGATCTCAGGTTCGTTTTACAAGTATCGAATCCGGAATCTCCCTTCGCATCTCGGAGATCTACGTCGGGTACCTGATACTCGGATTACAAACATCGGATTGGCATATCTGAAACTCGGCTCTCAGGCCTTGGGCCTCGGACTTGCAGATCTTGCTGGTAAGAGAGCTCCTTCCGCGATGGTGTAGAAGTGACGTCTGCACGGCGGCTTAGAATGACGCACACATGTGGCGCGCCTATGGTGTGGGGGTGCACGATCGCTTGACGGATAAATACAAGATGAAGGGCAACTACGGGTTGGTCGGCTCTCGGACCTCGACCCTCGAACTTGCAGATCTTGCTAGTAAGAGAGCTCCTTTGCGATGGTGTAGAAGTGACGTCTGCACGACGGCTTAAGATGACGCACACATGTGGCGCGCCTATGGTGTGGGGGTGCACGATCGCTTGACGGATAAAGACGAGATGAAGGGCAACTATGGGTTGGTAACATAATGAAGAAAGGAGGAGGATTCATTCCAGTTATCCTATACGGAATCAGCGTAATGTTGGTGGGCATCGGGTTGATTCTGGTGGGAGCAAGACTTTGAAGCAATGTCGGCACTGTGCACGAGATGTGGAGGGACTTGCGGAGAACCGAGAAGATGGATGTTTGTGCGTATGAGACTGATTCAGGCTTTAGAGGACTACGTTAGGAATACAGTTGAACTGTTGAACCCATGCACTTTATGTTTGGCTTTGTCGCGGATGAACACTTACATAACGCGCTTTATGATATGTTGTTAAGTTTACTGGTTAAGATCGAAACGACGGTACTTACTCTTAGGACTCGAAGGAGAGTAGATATCGTGAGATCATAGAAATCTGGAGAGAATAGGGTGTTTTGGAACGGACCGAACTGCCGGACTAACTAACTTACCGTTGATTAGGAGTCCGGACACCCGGCACGGAGAAAGCGTTTCTTCGCATAATACTGCGGGTGCAAGCATCATAGACGTGGTACTGGGTGAAGATAGATAACCACATCGATTGTTAGCGACATGATGTTTCTCACGAACGGCCCCGAGGGGGGCAACCAGGGTGTCGGAGGTAGCGGGCAGAACTATGGAAGCGGACAAGGCTATGGGAATGGTGGCGGCTACTTGGGAGGTGGGAGAGGACCAGTGGGAGGCAATAGCGGATGTTACAACTACGGAAAACCCGGGCATATCGCCCGAGATTGCTGGTCCCGCAGAGGGAGGAGCTTCGGGGCACAGAACAGAGATCCCGAATTAGAGGAGATAAAGGAACATTTTCGACAAGTAAGGAAGGAGCGGCAAGAAATAGAAGAGGAGAAGATTGGAGGAAAAAAGAAAGATGAGAGAGGAAGACGAACTCAGGAGAACACAGGACTTCGCCCCAGGGTGTCGGAGATAGCGGGTAGAACTATGGAAGCAGACAAGGCTATGGGAATGGTGGCGGCTACTTGGGAGGTGGGGGAGGACCAGTGGGAGGCAATAGCGGATGTTACAACTACGGAAAACCCGGGCATATCGCCCGAGATTGCTGGTCCAGCAGAGGGAGAAGCTTCGGGGCACAGAACGGAGATCCCGAATTAGAGGAGATGAAGGAACACTTTCGACAAGTAAGGAAGGAGCGACAGGAAATAGAGGAGAAGAGAAGATTGGAGGGAAAAAAAAAGATGAGAGAGGAAGACGGACTCAGGAGAACACAGGACTTCGCCCGGAAAGCTGAAGAATTCAAGTTGCAGCCGAGAGCGGAGATGATGGAAGAATGGAGGAGGACCAATGCGGAGGCAGAGAAGGTCGTATCCACGACTAAGGGGGCCGACAAGAAGAGAAAGAAGAAGAAGAGATTCATCAAGAAGAGGGTGTCCATAAAGACGAAGAAAGAAAAGCGGGTTAAAAAGAGGAGGGAAACCTCTAGTGATGAATCGGATACCGAAAGCAAATATGAGGACGAGATCACCGGTACCACAACTTCAAAATCTGATAACAGGAAAACGGTAGCACGACACAACTCCACGGAGAAGAATATTGCTAGAAGACACAAGAGGAAGGCGAGGAGGTTGAAGGGTAAGGGGAAGACACATTCGGTGGGGACGCCGCCTAAAACATATAAGAAAGGCGAGGGGTCGAGATAGAGAAGAATTGTAGATGAGGAAGAAATAGAATATAAAGAGGAGTGTGACCGAGGTACGGAACCAATGACGCCCTTGACGGGAGGTTTTAAGGGTCTGGCGGCGCCCTCAGAAGGGACTGATCGAGTACTATATCTCTTCGCATAAGATCTACTCCGCGAAGAAGGTGGAGGTGGTAAAGAAATTATGCAAGAAGAAGGGAATTAAGTACACCAAGAAACTGAAAGTTGTCGAGTAACTGGCTAGATACCAGGTGGAGCTGGCCTACGACGGTTTCGAGGAGGAACGAAACACAGAGACTAGGAAGGTCAGACACAAGACAGAAGTGTCCGGGTCACCATGGAAGGATTTCACCAAGGACCGGACTACCGCGGAGAAGCCGGTCACGAAGCAAGTTCCGGTTATTATACGCTCGGCACCGTTCCAACCTGCTGGAGACTCGGAATGACGGTTAGAGACCCCGTCCAATGCCATGCTATGGGACACACTGTGTCGATGGCTGCAGGCTAGGGCGGTGCTGCGAGCGGGAACGTAATATTATTGGAGAGGTGAATTGGAGAATCGAGTGCGCAATCACGACCACTACGCTAATGCTTACGGTGCAGGGACAAATACCCTGGCTGAGTAAGTACCTCACGAAGATGCACGGGATGGGTGGCTTACTTAACCTAGATGCCGGCGGTGTGTATGCTGTTGTGAGCCCATGGACTAGGAAAACTTATGTAGGCTGCACTGTTAGACCGATAATTCAACGGTGGAGGGAGCATTGTAGGAACGCATTGAGCAATTCGTTAGGTCTAACACCACACCTGTACCGATGGCTTAGAAAGTTTGGCATTGATCGGTATGTGATTATTCCGATCAGACACACTAGTGGAGCAAATGATTACGCCTTCAAGAGACACCTCATTACAAATCTTAGTCTGAGTTTGAATACTCGGGAACTGGGGAAGACCGAGAAACTGTCGAAGGGGAGGTGTAGCAAAGGTAGAAGGGAAAGAAAAGGGAGAGCAGGGAATGTACAGATCGGGAAGACAACTATAATTACTTTTGAATATCAAAGTATGTCCTTTACCTCGGTCTTGATATGGTTAGCTGACCACGTGGGGAAAGGGGAGAAGGTGGTACATGTTTCTGGTGGTGCCAGTTGGGCCGACAGATAGCGGAGAATTATACAGAGGTTTAGAGATTCCGTACTTGAAATGTCGGGACGTACTACCCGACTTCGAGGAGCTAAGAAGGAAGTGCAACTAGGGGGTACAATGCGATTCCTGGAGATACGGAAGTCCAAGTCGACGACAGAACGAAAAAGGCGACGCTGGTTACACTTCTTAGACGACCGAGACCGGACTCCAAATTGTCGGCGCTTTCCACTAGGAAACTGATAGGGCTGTATAAGAGTGCGGAATTGTTCACGCACAAGCAAATGAAACACTTGTTACGTACTAAACTAAACAGAGTAATCGGGAGGAAGACTAGTACGGGTGTTAGGAAGAAGGTTTATGTTAGACTGCTCTTCGATCCGCGGATTCGTAAGGCAGGATTAGAAAGATAACGAAACGAGTGAAAGTAGAGGCTATCGAGGATAAGCCTCTTGCAGATTTCATGAGTACTAGAATACGCATTCTCTGGATGTGCAATCGTAACGTAGCAGAACTGATTCATAACCAGAAAGATTTTGCGACAGACGAAGAGTTTCCCTGCCCTTGCCGGGTGTCGAAACTTCCGAAACAGGACGGACACGTGCTACTAGGTTCTCGGATCTTGAAGATTCGGTGTTCGTCTGCAACTCGAAGAACATCACATGAACGGAGAAGGCGTTGGACATCACCACAATTGCGACAACAATTTTTGATACAGTGAAATATGTGAAGAAAGTTGTGATACCGATAGTCGACCGGTTACAAGTTCTCATGGGACAGAAGTTGGGCGTATCGGCCTGGTCCGACGAGGAGGTTAGAACTTGGAGTACTACAAGTTTTGCGGGCTTGGTTCTCGCCCTTATTGACAGGAACCCAGGGGACACGGCGGGGATCTGTCTTGTTTTGTACCGACACAGTTTCAGAAAGACGTTCACTTGGAATACTAACTACGAGCAGATTGGAACTTTGCGAACAGAAATGGAGATCCTTCAGAAGTGCAAGCAGGATTTCCGCAAGCAAGGACTTCACAAGATAGGTCCCTGGAGACCTGACAGACGCCTGGGGACAACTTATGTGATCCCCAAACATAAAGATCTCTCCCTCAGGAGACCGATTGCATGCGGCAGCCTTAGCCCAGAAGAGAGTTGTTAGAGCACTGCACTTGATGTTGAAGAGACTGCCGACCAACAACACGTTCTATCTGAACTCGATAGCTGATCTTACGGAGAGACTGGAGGGGGCTTCTCAAAAGTTGAGAACGACCGGTTGTGACAGAGCAGTGGGGAGATGCTATGATGTTAAGGAGATGTTTTTCCGCATTCCACATGGAGCGGTGATGCAAGAGATCAATCAACTTATCAGGAGGTATGAGGATAACGGGTACTTACAGGTGAGGGTGTCTATGAGAGGCAAGATCTGCATGCTGAGCGATAACAAGACGAAGATGGATGTTTACGTTAGCTTGAAGCTAGAGAGTGTTATGGAGGGAGTGAGATACGACCTCAAGCACTCGATGGTTAGGTGCGGACAACGGCTCGTGAGACAGATATTCGGGATCCCTATGGGCAAGTCGACTAGACCAATCCTAGCTTCCATCACTTGTGCGATGGCTGAGTTGAAATTCATTCAGGAGTTGGGCAGCGACAACAGACTACTGGGCGGATGGCGTATCATGGACGATATTACTATCATCGTGGGGATTCCTGCCTCCGGGGGCTCACAGGATACCCCGAACGTTTTGTTCGGAGACTTCGAATCGATCTACGATCGCAATCTGGAGGTCGTCCGCAAGGATGACTGTAGAGTCGCCTGGGATTTTGTGGGCGGGCAGATGCTTATCTATAGCAGACCTCTGCAGGTGCATTTCGTACCAAGGACTAAGAATACCGACTCACTGTATGGAGTTGGGAAGCTGGATTTTCAAACAATACAAGATTATAACTCCTACTCAGCTAAGTCGGTTAACAAGGCTATCCTGACTTCAAGTTCAAACGCCTGTGGAACCACGCAACGGGCAAGGAACTCGTCGTTGGGGCTATAGGTTTTACAATATGCGAAGCAAACCTCTCTCTCGATGCCCTGTCCAGTTTGGCCAAGGCTGTGCCAAATACAACACTGAAGTGTCTGTGGAAATCCTTGACTTATGCAGCTGGTCGAACCAGAAATGGACGCGTTAAGCGGTTCTGAAGCTGGGAAACCGGATTTTTACTTTTACTTTTATTTTTGCTTTTACTTTACTTTTTTCTTAGTTATTTCATTCGCAGACCACTTTCGGGTTAGAACGATTTTCGTAATGGGCGTTGTTTTGTTTCTTTTCACCCGGTGTACGGGAAAAATGAGCATTTTGGGTGCCTAGGTCATGCCCTGTTGGGGGGGCTGACTTTTGTCTGATTGGTAAGCAACGTGGAAGGAACTGCTTAGGAATCTAGACCAGTTCAGGGTTGGTACTTTGCTCGTTTTAGAACAATGACTGGCGGATCCCACGAGTGGGTTTTCTCTAGGATTTTGATAGGTTTCATCATCATCTTTTGACGTTCGGTTCTGGCGGTCTTATTTCAGACCTGGGCAGGGCTGTTCATTTTGACTATTTGTAGGGACTTCCAGCCTAACAATTAAGGGATTCATAATCATAACTTGACTAGGGGGATAACCTGCGCCTTGGCAGGGATAGGCGGACATGTGAGGTGTAAGCTGGTTGTTGGGATGTTGACATATGTGGGACCGGCTCATGCCAGATGGGTGACAACGGGACAAACATGGCTCAGGAGCTAGACTGGCTCGTTAGATGATATATGGCTAGGGGTCAAAGCGGGACGTTGTCTCACTTTTTCTAGTCATACCTCTTCAGGTGACCAGAAAGCCAACAGGTTGTCACACAACATTTGAATGTTGTTTTGCAATAAGTAAATAAATTAATTGAAGCAAATCCCTTCCTGTTGTGTGCGTCCGGCTTCAAGCGAGACCCTTCGAATGCAGTCTTCGCCGATCCCCTGTCTTGGGAATCTTTTATTTTGATTCGGAAGAGCAAGAATCATGAAAATATTAATTATAAAATTCTGGTATGTCATGCACGCATCAATTTTGTCAATTTCCTAATTTTGAGAATTGTGACAGGATCATCAGAGAACGCAATCATCAAGCAGAGGCAATGCAAAAGAAGCAAGATTGACTGACTCGAGCAATGACAAGATAAGTGAGGGAAGAATGAGAACTCATAATAATCTCAAAGAGTATATATAAAGAGCTTAGTCAGCACTAGTTAAGAGTCCTCACTCATCCTTCTCGGTCATACACTCAGTCTCTCATTTTCCTGAGTGTTTCTTGTGCTCCGAGCCATGTCTCCATACTCTCTGAGGTTGTGGCCTCTAGATGTAGAGCCACCTGAAGCCTGCTAGCTCTGAGCATTTTCATCCAAGTCCCATGATACGGAAGTCAACCATAACGCAGAATTCCTCCCGTAGAGTACGAAGGTATGGT